AGGATTTTGACCCAGCGACAGTGAAGGAACAGTGATATATTCCCAAGTCAGGATGGTGAGTGTCTTGGAGGGGAACTTGCAGGGCGTGGTGATCCCATATTCCTGCTGCCCATGTCCTTCTAGATGGAAGTGGTCATGGGTTTGGAAGGTGCTGTTTAAGGATCTTTGGTGAGTTTCTGCAGTGCATCTTGTAGATAGTACACACTGCTGCTACCGAGCATCGGTGGTGGAGGGAGTGGATGCTTGTGGGTGTAGTACCAATAAAGTGGGCTGCTTTGTCCTGGATGGTCATAGAGTCATACAACACAGAAACAGACCCTTCGGTTCAACTCATCTCTGCCAATACATATCCTAAACTGATCCAGTTCCAGTTGCCAGCATTTGGCTCATATCCCTCTAAACTCTTCCTTGTCATGTCCCCATCCAGATGCCTTTTAAATGTTGTAATTGTACCAGCCTCCACCACTTCCTCAGGCAGCTCATTCCATACACACCACCCTCTGTGTGAAAGTGTTGCCCCTCAGGTCCCTTTTGTATCTTTCCCATCTCACCTTAAACTTATGCCCTCTAGTTTTGGACTCCCCTACCCTGGGGAAAAGACCTTGTCTATTTACCCTATCCATGACCTTCATGATTTTATAAACCTGTATAAGGTCACCCCTCAGCCTCCGACACTCCAGGGAAAATAGCCCCAGCCTATTCAGCCTCTTCCTGTAGCTCAAACCCTCCAACCCCAGCAATATCCTTGTAATTTTATTTTCTGTATAGTTTCTAGTTTAACAACCTCTTTATTATAGCAGGGAGACCAGAACGGAATGCAGTATTCCAAAAGTGGCATCATCAGAGTTACTGAGCATCAGTGTGCACTACAGAGTATGACTGTTGCAGAATAATAGTATCACTGATAAAGAGTGTCACTGTTTGTGTTGGACAGCACCAGCATCAACGATGCAGATTATCAGCTCCTGTATTACAGTGTCAGTGCTACAGAGTGTCAGTGTTACAGTGCGTTTGTGTCAGTGTTACAGAGTGTAATTGTAACAGGGCGAGTGTGTTATAGAGTGTCAGTGTTACAGAGAGTCAGTGTGACATTGCATTAGTGTTAGAGTGTCAGTGACAATGTTACAGAGGATCAGTGCCAGAATTACAGAGTGTCAGTGTTACAGAGTGTCACTGTTACAGAGTGTTAGTGTCACAGAGTGTCAGTGTGAGTTTTATAGAGTGTTAGTGTCAGTGTTACAGACTGTCAGTGTTCCAGTGTGTCATATTTACAGAGTGACAGTGTTACAGATGGTCAGGGT